GTAATCGCAGATGTGGGTCTTCAGCTGTCCCTTGTTACTGTCATCTCCTTCTATCTGTTCGCTCAGCCTTGTCTCCGTTCTCTGGCCCAGGATCATCGTGCATGGGTCGAGCCAACGTGGAGTTTCGTCTTCATGTCTCCATGTGCCGCACAGGGGGGAGGATTGCACAGCGCGACCAGCAGGCGTAATATGCGAGTGATATTTCAAAACATCGGAATCAACAGTGAGAGGGGCGGCAACGTCAGCTTGTGATTATCAAATGATGCCGCCCACAGCGCCGAGGAAGAGACCCCGCGGAACGCGAAACCATTTTTTATCACGCGCGCCACGGGGTCGTCGCGGGTGCAACGGAGGGTATCGTGTACCGCCCTGCACAGCAGCATTAAAACGATCGCCTCCCATATAGAAGGTGTTGTAGGGATCGTATGCATTCGAAGCGAAGCTTTCCCCATGTCAGGCCGATTACTGACGCGCCACGGGGCATCCGCAGTGCGTCGTCGTTGCCGTCGTCGTCGCGTTGTAGTCGTCGTCGTCGTCGTCGTCGTCGTCGTCGTCGTCGTCGTCGTCGTCGTCGTGGTCATCGATTGCAGCGGGCCTCCGCAGCACCCCCCTTTCCCCCCCCCCCGCCTATGGGGCATCCGCACTGCGTCGTCGTCGACGTCGTCGTCGTCTTCGTCGTCGTTTCTTCGTCGCCGTCGTCCTCGTCATCCGTCGTCCGTCGTCAACGTCGTCGTCGTCGTCTTCGTCCTCGTCCTCGTCCTCGTCTTCTTCGTCGTCGTCGGGGCATCCGCACTGCGTCGTCGTCGACGTCGTCGTCGTCTTCGTCGTCGTTTCTTCGTCGCCGTCGTCCTCGTCATCCGTCGTCCGTCGTCAACGTCGTCGTCGTCGTCTTCGTCCTCGTCCTCGTCCTCGTCTTCTTCGTCGTCGTCGTCGGGATCGTTGTCGTCGTGGGTGTCGACTACAGCGGGCCTGCGCATCCCCCCCCCTGCTGGCCCATGGGGCATCCGTAGTGCGTCTCGGTCGTTGTCGTCGTCGTCGTCGTCGTCGTCGTCGTCGTCGTCGTCCGCCGTCGCCTTCGCCGTCGCCGTTGCCGTCGCCGTCGTCGTGGTCGTCGTAATCGTCGTCGTAGGGCATATTGTAGTGGAGGGGGGGGGCAGAAGGAACACCGTCTGCCTCCCCGCTTCCCTTTTTGGTTTGTAGCCATGCCGGCACCGCCCGCCAGTTGCGGCGCCCTGTTTCCCCCGCCTCTTGTTTCTCCCCTGACTGTAGCCGTTTTGGCCGAAACGCCCCGCCGCAGCGGAGGCCTTGCTGTCCCCCTTTCCGCTGCAGCGGCGCCGCTGGCGTCGCACCCGTCGCCCTCCTGCTGTCGGCCGGGTGTCGGCGCGAATCACTGGCACCGACGCCGTGTGTTTCCATTTGTCGGGCGCCCCCCCCGAGATTCGCCCGAGCTCAGAGCCCCGAATCATCAGGGGTAACTCGGGTCAGGGCTAACTCGGGTTCGTTTTTCGGGATTCCGAGCCCGACTGACCCTGGACACGAGTTACCCCGGATAACTCGGGCGTCCAGAGCCCCACATCATCAGGGGTAACTCGGGTCAGGGCTAACTCGGGTTCCTTTTTCGGGAATCCAAACTCGAGTTACCCCGGACCCGAGTTACCCCGGATAACTCGGGCACCCAAATTTTTCGGGCGCCCCCCCGAAATTCGCCCGAGCAAAGGCACATTTGCAGTTAATCACGCGCTCCGCTTGTTTGTGTTAGTGGCAAGCTGACACTACTGCAGCATATCGCGCCACCGCGCCAGCCATCGGTGATTCTGGACTGGACGGGGGCAGCAGGAACACCAGCAAGAACCAGGGAGAAGGAGCAGCAGCAGGGAACAAAAGGAGGAGGGGAGGAGGAAGGGGCGGAGCCTTAGCCTCTGCAGCAGGGGAGATTCATCGGTACGAGCAGGGAGGAGGACCAGCAGCAGGGGGCATGTCGGGGAGGAACAGCAGCAGCTGCATCCGCAGGGGGCGAGGAGCGGGAGACGGTGTGACCCGTGGGTGTCGCGCCGATCGGGGGACATCCCTCTCCCACCCGAGCAAACCAGACCCGCGTAGACGCTCGGGACGATGCGGCCTCCTTGAAGTACCCCCCCCCACACCCGTAAGGGGGAGTCGCAGGAGAGGAGGAGGAGGAGGAGGAGGAGGAGGAGGAGGAGGCGGCGCGGAGGAGGAGGCGGAGGGGAGGAGGAGGAGGAGAGGAGGAGGAGGAGGAGGAGGAGGAGGCGGAGGAGGAGGAGGATGAGGAGGAGGAGGAGGAGGAGGAGGAGAGAGGCGGAGGCGGAGGGGAGGAGGAGGAGGAGGAGGAGGAGGAGGAGGCGGAGGAGGAGGAGCGAGGCGGAGGAGGAGGAGGAGGCGGAGGAGGAGAGGAGGGAGGAGGAGGAGGAGAGTCGAGGGAGGAGGAGGAGGGAGGAGGAGAGGGAGGAGTGAGAGGAGGGGAGAGGGAGGAGGAGGGGCGGAGGAGAGGGAGGAGGATGAGGGGAGGAGGGAGGGAGAGGAGAGGGAGGAGGAGGAGGCGGAGGCGGAGGGAGGAGGCGGAGGAGGAGGAGGAGGAGGAGGCGGGCGGCGGCGGCCGGAGGGGGGAGGCGGAGGAGGAGGCGGAGAGGAGGAGAGGAGGCGGAGGAGGAGGAGGAGGCGGAGGAGGCGGAGGATGGCGGCGGTGGCGGAGGCGGCGGAGGATGGGAGGCGGAGGAGGCGGGGAGGGGAGGAGGCGGGGAGGAGGGGGATAGGGGAGATGAGGAGGAGGAGGAGGGAGGAGCGGAGGAGGAGGGGGAGGGGGAGGGGGAGGAGGAGGAGGAGGAGGAGGAGGAGGAGGAGGAGGAGGAGGAGGAGATGCTGAAACGAGGCCCCCACTGCAGCGGGAGCGCGTTTCTAGAACGACCGAAACGCTGCACGGCACACGAGGAAAGGCAGCTCGGAGCAATCCCGTGTGTGGAACGTGCCACGTGCGGACAGGGGCGCGCGCCGCTCTCGGGGCGCCCCCCCCCCCCCCCTCTGGGGAGAGGCCGTATTGTGAGCAGGACTCGCACCGTGTCGCTGCAGAGGGGTGGGGGCACGGGAGGGGGGAAGGCGGAGGCAGGACGGAGGATGGGGGCCAGCCGCTCGCAGAGGGGGTGGGGTGGGGAGGGGGGAGGGCTTCCTTCTCAGAAGCACCCCTGCTTCCTAGAAGGCGCGGGCCTGATCTGTAGCTGCAAGGCCGGCGCCTTCTAAGAGGCAGCCTCCTTCTGAGAAGCCCTCCCCCCTCCCTCCACCCCCCTGTGCGCGCCGCCATGGGGGAGTGCTGGTGGCCAGGAGGAGGGGTGATCGCGTGGAGTGGGCGAGGCGCGCGGGCGGCACTGATCCGAGAGGGGACGGCGCCCATCCCTAGCAGCGTCGCTGGCAGCCGCGCGTGCGCGCGGCACCACCCAAAGGGCTTCCCTGGGGAAGGCCGCCTCGACCACTCCTGGAAGTTGTCATGAAGTTGGGCCCTCTCTCCCTCTACAGGAGGAGTTCAAAAATATCAAAAAAATCCTCTTGGGGTGTTTTTTGCTTGCCATTTTTGATGTTCTTGGGTATCTTCAATTTTTCGTCCGAGATCCCCTTCTTGCCGAGGGACCCGAGGGCCCCGCCTGCGCGGGCCGGCGCCCCCGCCGGTCTTCGAGGGGCGCGAAGCTGGCCGCGCCTCCCGCCGCACAGCCCGAGCTGCGGGCCGCTCTTCTCCAGGGCGGCCGCCGGGACCGCGCCCCGCGCAGCGCGGAGCCGGGCGGCCACAACGTCCTCGTCGTCGTCGTCGTCGTCGTCGTCGTCGTCGTCGTCCTCGTCGTCGTCGTCCTCGTCGTCGGCGTCGTCGTCCTCGTCGTCGTCGTCGTCGTCGCCATGCAGCCATTTAGCCTCAGCCGCCCAGGCCCCAGCGGGTCTGAGACATCGGCCTGCGCCGCCGCCCGTCGGGTCGGAGGGCGTCATCTGCTCGCCTGCACCA